CAGGGACAGGGACAGAGAGACAGAGACAGAGACAGAGAGACAGAGACAGAGTGAGAGCGAGAGCGAGAGCGAGAGCGGGAGCGAGAGAGACAGAGAGACAGAGAGAGAGAGAGAGAGAGAGCATGCAGTATCTCCCTGTCCGTATATATGCCTGCCTGCGTGCTTGTCTGTCTGCGTGCTGCTTGCATGTCTATCTGCCTGCCTGCTTCACCTAAAAGTACGTGGGAGTGAGAAAGAACATGATATGTTTTGCCTACTTGTCGACATCACTGCCAGGTTGACCTGAGCATGGCAGCCAGCAAAAGTAAGAACATCATATATCTTCCCGCCTGCTTGATCAATCTCAGCACGACTGGAAAGGGGAGAATGCAGCTCATCGCCTGCTTGCTGGCTATGAGTTTATTCTCTCTCGATGGGAAACCGTTTCGGTTCCATTTGTGATATGTATAGATTCGAATACATGGTTCGCTGCGCTTGAATCTGAGATGTCCCTTTCATAATGACTGTAGCGCTTGCACAGATGAAACCCCCCGGTGTCATTGCTGGACGTGTGCTTAGTGCTTTTGCGTCCTGTAAAAAGGCATGTTTTGTGGCCTAGCACAAAGCATCTCCGTTATTGCCAGTACGCGAGAGTCTGATTGTACAACACCCTGCCGCCTGTCAGTGTCAGTGCCTATGACACGCACGCCTATTTGACTGAGAGCAGACGATGATCGCTGTGCGTTTACAGATCGTGTTGACTGTTAGCGAAAACACGAGGCTATCCAGACAGCTAAATGCGCACACGCTTCATTATGGCTTCGTGTGTTGGCGCAGAATATCTGAATTCTCTACGTGTTAGTTGATTTATCCAATGGGTTTCTGTGTCATCTGTTTCAGTGGTATTCTTGTCATTTGTGTATGTTGTCTTGTCACCAGTATCTGCTCTCCTTTAATGTTTCAGCAGTATTTTTCTTATCTGTGTATGCTGTTTTCCATCTGTGTAACTTGATGTTTTGTTATCTGTCTCTGTTGCATTTTTTGTCATGTTTCTCTCTTGCATTTTTGTCATACATGTGTCATGGATGTGGTGTCTGTTGTTTAATTGTGTAACTTCTAGTTTTGTTGCAATCTGCGTGAGCCTTCTTATTTTCTGCATGATACATTCTTGTCTTACATATCTATAGATCTTGCCTACTGTATCTCTGTCGTAGACGTCTACCGCCTGCCTTCAGAATATATTCGTTCATTGGCTTCTCTTTTTACTGCCCGCCTGCTATCAGTTAGTGTAAATCTACTATCCTCGTCCCATGTTAGCAGAAGGACGCCGCAGAATGGCTGGAGCCTGCGGTGGCAAGGGCAGTTTGAGATGCAGATCATTTACAGATGCTCGTGTTTGCCGATGCAGAAAAACGAATCTTAATGTAGCAGCGAAGCTGAAAAGCGCCGCCGGGTGCAGAGGCGAAATGAGACGTGCGAAGGCACACACATGTTTGACGCGAAATTTTAAAAGTAATACGGCGCAGCAAGCTGATCAGCCGCTGTTTGCTGAACAAGATCGAAATAACACGAAGTCCTTATCCTTTGTGGGCAGCGCTGCTGCGCGTAAAATCAATATTGTGGTTTATGAGGATGCAGAGATTGCACAGATCCCAAAGCTTCCAATGCTTGTTCACAGCTGCATTGCCAGGTTTTGTGTGGCAGTAGGTAGGGGTGGTCAAGAAAGATCAGGTCCCTGTCATTCAGGCAGCATGTGGTCAATGACGAGAACATGCGATCTTGCACGTGGTGCAATTAATAACGTATCCACTAACACTAATCCATATTTCTCGTGATTACCCCCGGCTCCCATCACGGGGAGAAGCTATGTAATTTATATATAGGGCTTGAGTGTGCCGAACAGTGTGTATCAGCCGCTGCCAGGATTTTTTGATGTGGCTGGGCGTAGCGTCGCAATGAACGACAAACAGCCGCTATTTGTCAGTACGCCGGCGCGTAAGCTGTAAGCTGCCCGCGCGTGGCTGACAGCGAGCCGAACCACTCATGTGATTTATTCGACACTAGCGATGACGACACTGCATTTAGCAGATGAGAGCAGGCACGCCAATTAGCTATAAAGATGTCTCTATTACAGAGAGTCGTCGGGAGTGAGCGCGCGGGTCACAGAACCTAGGAAGTAGACATGATTGGCTGAGACAGCTCACCACACCATGGCCGCAGCTATGTGGCCGACCTCACGTGAGTAAATGTTATAGAATAAGGCAGCTCTCTGCAGCCAGTTGTGTTTTTATCGCAATGGTTTAGCTGCTTGTTCACTCTCGCGCTGCTGCGTTTAGATACATCCTGCCACTTCCTGCTATTAGGTCCCTGCATGATCTCTTACAGTTTCAGTGTGCCTTCTCCACGTACGTGTCTGTTGAGATCTAAGTATGCATTTTTTCTTCTTCACGTTCATGACGCCTATCTGCTTTCCTTCCCTGCCTGTCTCTCCTCCCTCCCCTCTTCTCTCTCGTGCGCGCGCTCTCTCTCTCTCTTTCTATTTTCCTTCAAACACACAATGTATCACTTCCTGGCCTTGTATGAAGCCCCGTGTGTACCCCCGACGTCACCCCTCCTCTCTCTTGATTTACCAAACCTTCTTTACTCTTTCGCCTCCGTCTATATTGACCTCATTACTTGACCTCCACTCACATTCTTCTTCTCCCCTTTTCACCAACTGCTGTCTGGTTAACTGAATTCTTCTATCTTCTCTCCTAATTTCGTCCCATCCATCATCTCCCCTGTTGCATTGCCTCCCTGTCCATGCCTTTGAGCGTGAGCTAAGATCAATTGTAGTTGCCCCGTTTGCTAGCTGCTCCATCTGCGCATTTGCATGGTTTTGCTGTGAGTTTATTTCGTTAGAATTGAGCACGCAGTTTACATAGTCATCAGCTGTCTTCGTTGCAGGCTACTCCAGGAAAGAGGCTGATTGATTTTGTCGCTCGATCTGCGCGGAGGGCATGAGCAAGCGTGCGAACAACAACCACAAGTCGAGTGATATGGTGAGCAGGTGCAGCTACGTTGCAGGATAAAGATGAATTCACCAGCTGGCCATGTTAAATTTACTCTTCAAATTGAATAACTGTGATTAGAACTATTTGATATATATGCAAAGCGCAGTATTTTTTCCACAAAACCATCCAGAGAGGGCAGTGGGAACAAAGAAAGGAGACAGAAAGAAGGGGTCAGGGAAGGAGGAAAAAGACAGTATAGGGTTGAGTAAAAAGGGTGTGAGGGGAATAGAAAGAAAGGGGGATTAGGATGAGTAGAGAGGAAGTGGGGGTATGGACCATGGAGTGGAGAGTAAGAAAAGGAGGTATGGGAGGAGGGACGAAAAAATGTCCCACAGAAGATTAGATGACACGAATGGAGATGAGTGAAGAGGCAATAAAAGGGGTGTGTACACTGATGCTTTGATGTGTAAGTATTTATCACCGAGCTCTAATAAGGTTTGGTGCACACACTGACTTTGTATTCCTAGCCTCTTATGCTCTCAAGTAGGTGTTTAATATTGAGCTGTGAGATTGAGTTGAGAACTTGAGCAAACATGCGTGAGTACAAGTTGATTCATGCAATATATATGTATTTGCATAGCCAGTGTTAGCATGTATTTGAAATTTTGTTTACCTAAGTATGTCGTTGTGCTGAATTAAATTATTGAACTTTGAAACTGACAATTTTACAGCGCCACTTGCAATGTCACATTGAAGGAGGCCCAGTGCCATTAAGTGCAACTGTGTCGTGTGGTTCATTTTGCCTATAAATTGTAATTTTATTCATTAAACTGCACTGTGACTGTAACTTATTCTTCTGTACTGTCTGTTTTTAGCGGGGTACCGTTATTGGCAAGGATGCTTGTAACAACAAGTATTGGTATTTTGATGGTGAGTAGACTTGATATTTGGCTTTTTTTTAGCAATTCTATGGAAATTATTATGTCAATATTTCTATTCTGCCTTATTCCAGTTTTTGTGGGCATGTGTATTTCAGCAATTCCATATCATGGAACTAAATAGCCAGTATTTTTTTCAAAGTATGATTTTGAAAGATTTTATCTATCAAAGTTTGTACATCTTTATATGGATCTATGATATGGCATTGCCACTTATTGGATTTTTTTGGATGTTCTACAGTGCACTCAACGTTTGAATGCTTGTCAATATCAGAACCAATCTCAGAGCGTACCCTATTCCAAAAATCACTAAAAAGCCCAATTATTGATTCTCTGGTGAAAAACATCTCATGAGAATAAATACGTTTCTTGCACCTGTTTTTGCCTAATTAAATGTTACAGCAGGCTGCAGACATATAGTTTACAATCAAAGTATGCTTTAGAATTGTCGGCTGAGGGTGCTGTTCATAAGCATCTTAGAGGCAGTTAATATCCGCAGCTATTACCGTAGCCCCCTTTCATGATCTAATCGCTCACTGTGTTCTTAGACCATACTGGAGCAGTCGTGCCATAACGTACAAGGTTAATGTTTAAATTTAGTTAGATAAGTGGAAAATGGTTTGTGGAGATTCTTTTTCGCACCTAATGCTGTATACTAGTTATTGTCTGAATGGACACTGTGGTGCAGTGAGCGCAGGAAAGGGCTTGCTAGCACCGTGGTGGGGCCGGCTAGCACCGTGGTGGGGCCGGCTAGCACCGTGGTGGGGCCGGCTAGCACCGTGGTGGGGCCGGCTAGCACCGTGGTGGGGCCGGCTAGCACCGTACTGGTTACTGGCTAGCACCGTGGTGGGGCTGGCAGCACTGCCGTATGGTGGTTAGCATTGACTTGGCATGACTCGAGCAACTTACATGACATTTCATACTTTGCACAGTGCTCGTATGAATTTCGTTTGTTAACTGCATTATGCTGGTCTTACCAGCCCCGCCCAGACGTAATTGTTTTCGAATATCACAGTGACTGGAGACTAGTGGTGTTAATAGTGTAGTTGCATGTCATTGCTAAACGTGGCATGTTGCATTTAGACAGTAAATGCCTTTCCCCTCCAGGAGGATTGCAGGAGCTTTAGACAGATCTATCAAACCGATAATTTCACTACTTACAGCTACATCATATGATTTATAGTTTAATTTCTCTCTGAAAAATCCTACTCAGAACATTCACGTTTCAGGAATTTGGGTTTTTAGCCTGGGGTTTGTCAATATTATGTAGCATGGTTGTCTGTAACTATGATAAAGTTTTCTACACACTCGAATTTTGCCATGGGTCTTGCCGCAGCACTGTGGTTGCCCTACCTGGTTTGCGCCCTGGTCTGCCTCTGGATTTATTCCATGCTCTTTATTGAACGTTTTCTATGTGTCACTGTTTGTCTCATATAAAAAGTCTTGTTAAAAGGTAACTGGCCTTCTGATAACCCATCTGTGAACGAAACTTCTGCCTTGGTACCCGTGGTGACCTAAAAGTTCTGATTAAAGCAAAAACAACACTTACCCAGCGTAAATTCAAATTCAACCTCCGTATACAGATCTTATCTTGTAATTATTATGTAGGGGTCACTTTTTGTAACCGACTATTGCATTTTTTTAAACTGGCACAGTATTTGATATAAATTTAATTAAAACCTTCATGAGAGGCGTTTAGTTATCATCCGTAGAAGACGGAAGTAATTCTGCAGGGTTGTTCTACTGTCTGGTTGCAGATCTGAGGCTTTATAAGGAGAACACGGCGAAGAAGCCCAGCAAGCGGGACTGGGAATGCGTCTGCTCCAGCCTGCTGGAGTGGCAGGGCTTCGCGAAGCGGTATGCGGCTAGCAAGAGCCCTGCGGAGAAGGACCTCTTCTCCTACGTCACCGAGAAGCTGATGCCAAAGATCGAGGTGCAGTTGAAGGTGCGCGCTTGGTGATGCTATTACGGGTGCTTACTGTTATTCCTGGTATAGAGCTGGCATCCTCTACAGTACTATGGAGTCCCACACAGTCAGTAGTGTTATGTAGTGCTTCTTAGTTCCGTGCAGTCGGAGTAGTATTAATATAGTGGTCGTAAGCTGTACGTATTTGGAATGGTGTTATATAGTGCTTTTTAGTTCTACGTAGTCGCACTAGTGTTATATAGTGCTTTGTAGTTCTACGTAGTTGCAGTAGTATATATTTAGTGCTTTATAGCAGTGGTAGTATTATGTGGTATATCAGTGGTGCAAGGCCGTACGCAGGAAATTTTCTGTAGGGGGGCAAATACGCAGGAAATTTTCTGTAGGGGGGGCAAAGGTACTCCCCACACCCTCTATTGCCCTATTTGTCCCATTAAAAGGCATACTCTGAAAATCTCTAGGGAGGGCAACTGCCCCTGCTGCCCCCCTGCTGCGTACGGCCCTGGTTGGGCATATCGTTCATGTTCACGGTGTGTAAACGCTAGCATGCAGTTCTATCGCAATACCGAGTTTAGTGAATCTGAACCCGATAACAGGTGATGGCTGCTCTCAGTAATGTCTAACAACGTGTCCATAGGCTATACCAGCGTGTTGAGGATTTTGTGTACATATTGTCTCATGTCTGAGAAAAGCTTGCAGGTTTTCCTGTAAACCGGGATTTCTACTTAATGCCCGGTGAACGCTTGCGACGCTAACTGATTTCTGAAATTGTGCTGAAAATGTTTCAGGAAGTGTAAAATGACGTGATTTTATAGGTGGCAGTAGGGAGTTGGTTACAAAGTGTAATCCCGTATAATAGTGTTCTAGTTGAAGAGTACAAAAACATGAGACCTTTATGAGTGTATATGAGTGAACATGTAATGAACAGTTCAATGTTAATTGAAAAGCTTCCCCGTGCTGCGATGTGAGAACCAGGCACTCAATATATAGCGTCACTTCACGTTTTTATGTTACGACAGGTGAAGGAAGAACAGAATGACGTGAAGCCCACCCTGCCCGAGAACAATAAGCTGGTCAAAGCAGAGGCGATGCTGACGCCTGGTGGGGGCAATGGCAAGCTGGACGATGTGCTGAAGACTGAGGACCAGGGCGTGCAGGAGAAGGTTGAGGCATCGGAAAGCAATACGCCGATTTCTGTCCAGATGCCAGGAACCCCTGCGACCCCTCAGTGCAACAGTGTGCAAGGTAAATGTGTGCAGATTGTAGGTAGAATTCGTACCCCTTACTGCTGTATGCGATTGCAACCAGTCACCTCACCAATTTCACATCTCCAGAAGCGTGGTTTCCTGTTATACTGTTTAGCTACCAAACTCTCTGCCTGCGTATGACCATACTTTCGATTATAACATTTGCAATATTTTCTTCCCACAATATAGTTTCAACAAATGCAGCACCTAGCTCGTACATACTCATGACTAAAGTATATCAACGGAGTGTAGAACGATGGTAGACCACACTAATGCTACAGTTGTATCTCTCCATCTAGGGCACACTCCCAATGGCGCAGCGGATGGCATGAAGAGTGTTGACAGCAGTACTCCGACCCCTGGTCCACAATCTGCTACCTCACAACCACAAGCCGCACCCTCGAAACGGCCTACAAAGGCACCAACGCCGCAATCTAGCAAAATATCGGGGGGTCCTGGTACACCGCAGCAGGTCAGTGTCCCGAAGCCCGTTGTCAGAAACGAAATTACTCTTAACAATAGTTTTAACATGAACTTTTCCTCATGGACAGTTGACAGAACTATCTTGGAGTTACTAATTTACCGTACGCAGTGTATAGAGGAAAAAGTTGATGTTCAGACTAATGTTAAGACTAATTTTGTGTCTGACAATGGGCCCCTATCTTCTTCACATACGATGGTTTTAGTGAACGATTCATTCAAAAATACTGGTTCAAAAAAACTACAGTGACTCTAATTACATACATAGTATATTGTGGCATTCATATTGTCGAAGTGATGCATTGGTCAAAGCATAATGAAACCTCTTAGTAAGGCCAAGTTGTAAAGTAAGTGGCCAGTAAGGATGAATGGTTCGCTTCTTGATCAAGACTGAGAAACTTGATATTTGATGTGATCAATATCTTCAACGATTCACACGAAAGTTCTCTGCTTGGATGTAACCAATTATATACATAAGTTAACATTTGTCATGAACAATGTGCAGGTACCGTCAAATGTGCCAAAACCACCTATGGACCCCCAGTACATGCAACAGCAGAGTCAGATATTCGTCTTCACGACGCAGATGGCCAACAAGGCGGCCGAGGCCGTTATGCAGGGCCACTGCCCGTCTATCATCGCCTTTCACTGCTCACAGCCAGCCACGAAACAGTTCTTACAGGTATGTAGCAGCCGAACTGTCCAAGTGAATGGCTGATTGAGGTTCTGATTGATACCTGTGGTGGGGGAGGAGGGGGGTTTACAGTCGGATTAATTCAATTTCAGACTGTTACTCCTAACCTTCTTAGAGGATTAATGATTTTAAACAGTTTGCATTGTGCGTAAAGGAAGTACGTAAAATTTGTGCTAACCTGAGCACAGTGCGAATATTGTTCTAGGCATATGTATAACCATACAATGAAATAATAAGATCTCACCTATTCGGGGTGAACTGTAGGTTACAAATCCCTCATTATCAGGTGACAAGCTAGCACGTACATGGGCATGCTGCAGTGTTTAGGTCTAGAACAGGTACATGTGCACTGTTACAGATATAGTTTATTTTGTCCTGTCTTGCCACGCCTGTATGCTTTTAATTAGCATAAATCGTTATAATCTGTCACAAGCATGTACTCAGTATGCAAGCCACGAGGCTTATGAATTGCTGGTTATTGCCTTGACCTGAGACGGAATGTAAAGATGTACCTGAGACGGAATGTAAAGATGTATGGGCATTGTGCCTGACATTGAATGGTAATTTTCTTTGATTGTAGAAGCATCCGATGAAGCTTCATCAGTTTAACAGGTGTTCTACCGCATTCACGAATCACAATGGAAACAAGCCTATCTGTTCCGTGCCCCCAGGTATGGTTGACGTGCGATGTTGAATTTTTATGTGAAATCATTAAAAAAAGTATTGCAATTTGGTTCCTTTAAAAGACTGCGTTCTGCCCTTTCTCGCTTTGCAAACGAATGCAAATGCAAAAACCATCTCCCTGTTGCTGGCTTTACCTATTTTAATGACTTGTAGTAACCTCTAAGTACTCACTAGTTGTACTCCTCCAATGTTGTTAGTCCAAACTCTGTACTTGAGTGTGCTCTCTCACCCGCCAACACTTTTGCCTCCATAAAAATTAATTGTTTTTGCTTCAGGCTCGTCCAGGCCGCTGGAGCAGCTACAAGATAAGGTGAACCAGTTGGGCAATGAGTGGCCGCAGGTGTCTCCATCCTTACAGTGGGGAGGCCAGGGAGGTGGTCCAGCATCTAGCCAGCCCAGTCCAGTGCCTATTTCAGATGTCGGACCTGCAGGGATACTCTGTGAACAAATGATGCCTAATGCCATGAGTACGTGTAGAACTGATTGGACATAAACTGAGCAGTATTTTTTCCAAGTGGTTGGCTTCTTATCAGATTGATGTGCTAAAATTTTGTGGTCGTTTTTAATTTTCTTTTAACCTATAACCAATGTAAATCCTATGCTATTTGTTCAAATTTTTTGAGATTTTTCTTTTTATAACCGTCGAAAATGGTTTTGCAAGACTTTTTACTGGGCTGCCAACAGGAAAATTATTGTAGCGGGACGGTTGGGGGGCATGGGCTGACCAGTTCCTGCTCTATGCCACCTTTGTCCCGCCTAACGGTGTTGCCCCGTGAAGCTGCGACCGGCTAACGTCAATCCCGATTGCATTACAGGAGAAAACCTGACTCCGCAGCAGCTGCAGCGTCGAGAAGAGCAACTGCGCAAGATGCGTCGCATCCAGGAGATGCTCTTCCCCGAGAAGTGTCAGCCACAGGTGGCGCCGGGCGCGTCGCCGGAGGCGTTCTACCAGCAGCACGCGATGCCGCCGCAGCAGCAGCAGCAGCAGCAGCAGCAGCAGCAGCAGCAGCAGCAGCAGCAGCAGAGCATGATGGGCATGCCGCCGCGCGGGCAGGCGATGAGTCAGATGATGATGGCGCAGCAGCGGATGGTGCTCCCGCAGGACCCAGAGCAGGCGAAGGCGCAGATCGAGTGGCATCGGCTGCAGGAGCAGTACATGCGCGAGAAGCAGGTGAAGATGATGGGCGGTGCGCAGGTGAACCCGGGCATGCAGGGCCCGCCGGGGCCGCCGCCGCCCTACAACCAGAGCCTCGGCCACCGCCTGCACAGTATTAACAACCGGGCGTCCTCTACCTCACCGCACTTTGTGTCGCCGCACATGCAGCCCGGCGACTTCCAGTTCAGCCCGCACGGCCCGCGCATGAGCTCGCCGCCGGGGCAGCCCGTGCCGCCGCCGCCGCCCACCGGCGCGCTCGACCAGAACTACAACAGCCCCGAGATGCTGTCGAAGCTGCAGCAGGAGCAGATGATGAAGGCGGGCGTCGCGGCGATGGCGCCTATGAGCCCGCAGGAGTACGGCGTGATCGCCGGCGGCGAAGTGGCGGCGGCGATGTACGGCCCGAAGCCGCCCGCGTACGCGCAGCCGCACAAGATGAAGGAGGCGGCGGCAGACGCGCGCAAGGAGGTGATCCCCGTGCCGTCGCCGCAGCCGATGTCGTACGTCGCCGCCTTCGACACGCAGGAGCTGACGATACAGAAGCAGCTCAACACGGCATACATGGAGCCGGGCGGCGCGCCCGCGGCCGCCACCGCCGGCTCTGGCTTCATCGATGACCCCACAGCGCGCCAGTTTGTCGACGGACAGTTCGAGCCGGTGCACCCCGGCGGCATGCCGCCCCACCCCGGGGGCATGCCGCCCCATCCCGGGGGCATGCCGCCCCACCCCGGGGGCATGCCGCCCCATCCCGGTGGGATGCCCGTGAACATGATGCCGGGTCAGGCGCGGATGGGCGCGCCGATGATGCAGCGGCTGCACTCGAGCGTCGGGCCTGTGCACGAGATGGCATTCTCGCCCGGTGGCCAGAAGGTGCAGCAGCAGCAGCAGCAGCAGCAGCCGCACGGCGGCGGCCACGAGCCGTACATGCCTGGTCCGCGGCTGTCGCACTTTGAGCCCGGCCACGGCGAGATGTACGGGGCGGCGGGGCGGCCGCTGGCGTTCGTGAGCAGCGCGCCGCCGCAGCAGCACATGCCCCCGACCGTCAACAACACGTACGTGAACGCGACCATGTCCATCCAGCAGCTCAACATACAGAATATTCCCGGCTCGGCGTACAACGCGCAGATGCAGGTCGGGCAGACGAACATGCAGGCGGGCGCCCACATGGGCGTCCCGCACGGCGCCCAAGCGATGCAGCACGGCGCCGGCGGCGGTGCGCACCCGCAGACTAGCATGAGCATGCAGCAGGCGATGAGCGCTGGCTCGTCACAGCAGCAGCAGCAGCAGCAGCAGCAGCAGCAGCAGCATCAGCACGGGGTCGTGGTCACCGCCAACCAGACGGCGATGTCGCAGCAGATGGTCGCCGCGGGCATGCAGGGTGGCGGCGGGCAGGCAGCCGGGCCGCGCACGCCCGGTGCCCCCAACGCGAGCGTCCAGGTGCAGGCGAACGCGCCGAACACGATCCAGTACCGTCCAGCGAGCGCGCAGCCGACGTCCGGTCCTTCGCGACCTCTGAACCTCGACTTTCTGCAGCGGTTTGCGACGCCGATGGCCGCCGGCATGGAGAAGAAGGCGTCCCAGAAGCAGAATCTGCAGTTCTTTGGTGGCGGCGGTGGTGCACTGGGCATGATGAAGGGCGACCCGGTGCACTCACCCGACGCGATGTACGCGATGGACCCTCAGCAAGCGGCTGCCATGCAGGCGATGCGGCCCGGCAGCGTGGGCAGCATGCACGGCTCGGGGCCCGCGACGCCGGGCCTGCCTCCCGGTGGTCCCGGCACGCCGGGAATGCCCCCGGGGGCGTTGGCGGGCCCGCCGGGAATGCAGGGTCCGGGCCCGAATCCGGCTCAAGTGATGATTCAGGGTCCGGGGCCGGGCGCGATGCAGGGTCCGGGGCCGGGCACGATGCAGGGTCCGGGGCCGGGCACGATGCAGGGTCCGGGGCCGGGCACGATGCAGGGTCCGGGGCCGGGCGCGATGCAAGGTCATCGGCCTGGGATGATGCACGGCGCCGGCATGGCCATGATGCAGAGTCAGGGACAGGGCATGATGCAGGTTGCCGGGGGGCCGGGGATTCCCGGCATGCCTACCTCGATGCACATGAGTAGTATGCACCAGCAACATGCCATGCTGCATCACGCCGGCATGGTGCAGAGCCAAGCGAGGCTGGGCATGCCGCAGCAGCAGCATGGTCCCGGGATGGGCCAGCACCCTCAGGCACCCGGCATGATGCAGCAGCATCCAGGGATGGGGATGGGGGCAGGCATGAACATTGGGGTGCCGCCGACGGGGCCTGGGCCGGGAAACAAGATGATGATGTCGGAGATGGGATTGCAGTCACATATGCACCAAAGTATGCCTGGCATGAGTCAGTCCATGCACATGAACGCCTCTATGCAACCACTCGATCCAAACCAGCCCTACTTTCCACCCGTCTCCAGCGACCCTGCCTACAATGTGCAGTTTCAGAACTTTCAGAAGCAGCTGTATGCCACTGCCAGTAGTAAATCAAAACAGCAGCCTCAATCAAGCCAGGGCATGCCATTCTGATGCTGAAGGTTCAACCAGCCTTTGAGCTCAGAATTGTACGCTAAGATATCTCATTAACACACTGAGTTGGCGGGAAAAGCCCAGAGCCTACGTCTAATTCGTTCAAAGCGAGTTTGTTTTGTGGTGACGATGAATTTATTGATTGTCTGCCACTGCCAAATGTGCCATATTTGGAATGTTGTCTTTTATATTATCTTCGTGTATATAAATGAATTTACTCTGCCATTTTTGGATTGATTGCACCTGCCTGTGCTGGCGTGTGCTGATTTTCACGTACCTTCCGTACAACCTTGTACAGATGCTGTAAATACATGGATATTTTCGCACGTCGCACAAGCACAGGCTGATGGATATGACGAGAGCTGGTTTGGCCCTAGACGAACTTATCTGCATCTTAGCACTGATAATGGGGGAATACCAGCCTCTGCCTACACCGGTTGTAATAACGCGAGATGGCTTCTTCTGAGCATTTCCATTTCGGAATGAAGTTCTATTTCTATGGTGATATGGGATGCAGGTAGGGCTGCAACGATACGTATGTGATACACAAGTCACGATGAGATACGTGTTGTGATACAAACGATACGGTGTTGCAAATGATGAAGTATGACAAACAGAAATTTAATGCCAAGTTGCCATAACGCGATACCAGCCCTACGTCATCAACTTCATTAACTGGTGCCTGGCCATGAGTTACTACCTAGTCATGGGGCACAAGTGTACGCACATACAAGTGTAGCAGTCGACCGTGACTAGTATCCGCAAGTGGAGCCAGGTTATTGAATTGATGCAGATACCAGCGCAAATGTGTAATGTGCGAACGTGAATGTGATGCTGAGTAACGATTATCCTAGCAAATTAGGTTACTCGTATTTGTTCAAGTTCGTGAGTGAGTGGGTGAGCGAGCGAGCGGGCGAGCGAGTGAATACGTAACTAAACTAAAGCAACACCCGATTTGCCCATTTTTATTAGCAAGTCAAAAGCCGACGAAGCGTTTGCATCTCTATACAGACCAGAACGTGTAACAAATCGTATCGTGACTTGTGTAACACAATACACCGGTGTTGTAGTATATCGTTGCACCCTAGATGCAGGTAGCAAAGTTTGTCAACTAAGACAACGTGTATATATTATTGAGAGGGGACAGTGCTTGCTACACTGATTAATTTAAACTGGAATTTAACCGGATCTGTATGCAAATATATAATACTGCTGAGCAGGTTATTGGTATTGATTACACTTTTATTGAAAATAATATCATCTTTACTTAGTTATTGTTTTAATCAATAACCCTACGCTGACTGATGAGAATATATCAAACTGCATGTTCTGATCTCAGATTGAATCCCTATCCAGAGATTAATAAGTCGATGGAGTTTACAATATCAGGCGTTCAAGTGACAACAAAACGGGCGTATTTCGAAAAAAATTGTAATCATGCTTGTATTGTCACATATGATAGCGTTTTGGTCGCTATGGCAATGTTTGGGCATATGCTTTTGGTGTAGCATATGCTCCTGTCCTGTTCACATCCCGGGTCTCCAGATTTTATTTTGACAGAAAATTGCTTACCAAAATTTGTATCAAAGAGTGTGACATCTTTTCTACTAGTTTTCATATCGTTTCTCCTGGAACTGACTCGATCAGAAACTACTCCGACGATTCACACTGGAACTGCTTCGTTATCGAAAAGATATTAGTGCGTGAAAACTATGATCGTGGTATTTTGTCACTAATGGGCAAAATCTTATTGTTTTGTGTCATTGTCGACATTTCCTTCGTATAAACTTGTATTGCCTGCTGTATGGTGCATTTAGTGCACGTACTGTTTGTGGCATGTGCGCACGTTTCTAATTACGGATGGACCATAAATCTCAAATGTATTTCGCAGTACGCGCCCCTCCGCTCTCATCATGACTGGCAGTTGCGGCTGCGAGATTGTCGGCGTCGTTCGCAGTCGGTGAGAAATCGTTCGACCAAGTTCCGCCGGTAAAATTCGCGAATAAAACGTTTTAGCGTGACGGGCGAATCTAAACCAGGAGTTTACCCGGTTATACTTGACCGAACGTTGTTTTGGTTGTAAAAAAACATCGTCGTTTAAGGATCATCCTTTTATATTACATGGCTGACGAAATGCATCAATTGTAAATACTGAAACCATACACTTGTAATACGTAAAATAAGAAATGCATTCACGTATTGCATTTTTATTATATAGATTGAGAGAAAGGTATTTTATCTTGATATGTTTAGCATTTTATAAAGCAGTGGTGAATGCTGTAAAACATTGTAGATTTGTAAGATAATATGCAAATACTATACTTTGCATCAGTTATATATTGTATTTTACCAGCGTGTCAGCTAGCATTGCGACATTTTTCTGTTTCTCATTGATCGTAGGTTCTTAGCCAGTTAGTAATCATGTAAGTAAGCGCTCAGCTGTTTAACGTAGAGAAGGAGAGGGAGAGAAAGAGAGAGAGAGAGAGAGAGAACGAGAGATAGCGAGAGAGAGCCGGACCACTGCTCAGTAGTTTCATACCACTATAAGCGGAAATGTTGACAAATTTCATAACAAAAACACACTCTGCCCTGCCCCTATGTCGGTCGTAATTACAGACGCTGCCAGTAACGTGTTAGTGTCGTCAAGAGTCATCGTCCTCGTATTTTGGTGTTCTGTCAATGTCTGCCGAACGCAGACCCTCACGGACTGAGTGCGGCAGTCTTGTATATTCAATCTCTCCACGTGTGTCGGGTATGCACGCGTTACTCATCAGTTGCTAGCATTTTGTCTAGGGGTAGTTCAACTCATGTAAAGGACACATGCATGCGGGGCAAAATACCAAGTGGGTTGGCAGTAAGTGAAAGTTAACTGTAGAAAGGTGTCTATTTTTGATACATTTTATATGTTTGGAGCCTTGACTGAGTATTCAGTTTGTGTATCCAGGTTTTTGTTACTGTAAAATATTGACCCAGAACCACGAGATTGTTTAATGTGAATTCAGAAATCTGTGAAATTAATAATAAAAGGGTAATGAATTTTATAAAATAGTTTTGTTGTTTTAGCGTTCGAGTCTGCGTGTGTTCTTATTATCTAGTTCAGTTACGAAATTGTTCTTGTTCCATCCCTAATTATGTGCCTCCTCTCTTTATCTCTTCCCTTCTACATTTCGTATACTGTCAAGAGAGGTTTTGTGTTATGTACTCCTCATCCTGTGTTCTCTTGTCCTACCATTTCTACTCCTGATTACACACCCTTTCTCGTCATCCGACGCTACCGCTGCCCCTCATTCCCATTTTTTCAATTTCTTTAAGCTAGCCACGTCATTAAGTGGAGGGATACTAGACTAGGATTTTACTGCATACAACAACTGTACTCACTGTATAACATCGTCTATACCCACACGTACTTGTTACCAGATACCTAATTTAATTGTTATAATTAATTATACATCAACGCTAGCCTATACGAAATTTGAACGGCGCCATTGACAACCGCGACCGTGCTGCTACCCTGAAAAATTTCCCAATATATTGTACACGTTACAGACCATAGAAATAGTATAGATAACCTATATCTATAGGTTATCTATACTATTT